ATTAATTTTTTCACCATACTAGCAGTCTTAAATAAAGTCATTTCAATACGAGGTCTTATATTAGCTTCAAATATTTGCTATTAAATTTTTACCTTGTCCTATGTGATAAACATAGAAGGATAATTTTAATATATATATATATATTATATATATATATATATATATATATATTATATTTATAATTATATTATATATATATATATATATATATATATATATATATATTGTTATGATATGTAAAATCGAGAAAAATATTGGTTTGTTAAAATATTTCAAAGTTCAAAAACATTAAAATAATTCAGATAAGTAGGATAATAACCAACAAACATTTCGAAGAAGGAAAGTCTTTAAATTTTTGGATTACCTGTATTAAACAAAATGTAAGCTATGCATAAATTATTTTCTTTGTTATATATACTTGAGTGACCCGCATAATTTTAAGTGAAATCCAAAGACAATTGAACCGGGTTTTCCAAATACATTAATGCAGTGATTAAGGACAATAGAATAGATTTTAGAAAGATAGGTTTTTGTTAGTTTTTAAGAATTGTAGAAAAATATTATTTGTAAATAAGTTTTAGGAAATTTTATAATTATAGGTAAAAATTTGTTTGTTATCGAAATGAAAAAATGGGGAATTGTGACGAGTTTGATTGGCGGAGATTGAAAAAGGTGGGATAGGTATGTAGGAATGAAAGTTTAGCTAGATTTTGAGAGAGAAAAGATAGTCAGTTGGTTTCCAAGGGTGCAAGGCGAACGGCCGTTGTTCTCGGGTAGTTTCCCAGAGGTAGGAAGCAGTAGCAGTGAAAGTTTGTGAGTTTTCGTGTAGTTAGTGTATCTGACAGAAGCTGATCCAGTAAAATATTGTAAGTCATATTTTTCTACTTATATTCCAAGAGTCACTGTTCAGGCCAACGAGAGATTCAGTTTATCGTAAAGAAAAGATATTCCAAGAGTCATTTTTCACTCAGGCCAACGAGAGATTCAGTTTATTGAGAGAAGAAGAAGCTAGCATAATTTGAACGATTCGTGCATTTGAAGGAGATCATTAAGGACGATATACTTGCAATAATTTGTTGTAAGATTGCTGATTACCTAGGGAGCGGCCACGAGTAAATAATATAGTCTACAAATAACAAGGATTTGGACCACTCATCATCAGAGAGAGATAGTTTTGTTTTCTGCAGTTTTTCTTTCATTGATAACACAATTTTTACACTTAATTTAGAAAGGATATAAATATTTTGATTAGGAGATTTAGAATAATATTTGGATTTTGAGATTTCAACTAATATTGTTTGTACCATTAATTTTGAAGGTTCACGTACGTAGAACAAAATTTTGAGAATCATTATATGAGATTTTGTTTATTGAAAACATTTGAGTGTGAATTTATTTCATTATTTTTATTTCAATATATAACGTTAGATCTATATGTTTTTTTTATTATTCCGGTATTCTTTGGACCTTACCTTTCACATGTAATAGCATAGATATTGAAGCACGAATTTAACCCTGAGATAAGAGAATTAAAAAGTGTGATAGAGTCATAATCATATCATTTAAATAATTTTAATTAATTAATTAATTAATTAGCTAATTAATTGCTTGGCGCACCAAGACTTGAAATATCACAAATATATATATATATATATATATATATATTATATATATATATATATATATATATTATATATATACATATATATATATAATATATATATATATATATATATATATATATATATAATATATATAAGCTAATCTAACATAAAATACACTTTTAGACCACATTCCATACGACAAAAAGTAACATAGGTTGCCTAATACACAGGTCATCCTCTTAAACATGACTTTAACACCATCGGTGATTTCACATCGATTATAACCCAAATTTTTAAATCCCAACACCTAGATTGCTGTTATTATTTTTTAAAATCATCAAAATAATTTTTGAATCTTTTGGTTGTAGTAATACTAGGTATAACTAATATAGTTCCATGTTACATTGACATTTTGTTTTTGACACCGTTCATAGGTATATTGTCAATCAGTTTCCAGCTGTTCTCCGTGTGTAGAGGTTTACTCTCCGGCTCTGGAACTCACTTCAGCAATGTATGTTACCTGAAGTCATATTTAATTTAATACTGAACATCACAGTTTTTTAACAACAAGATGTATAATCTTTTACAACTATATGTAATTTAAAGGGTTTTTACCCATGTATTTTGGTGGCTCAGGCATTTTAACCTAGTAAGTATAGCCATTTTTGCTTTTTAACCATAGTCAAAATTTCATAACCACGTTTGTTTTAACTAAATGGTTTATACTTATTTTAGGCAATTTTAAAATTTAAACCTGATGATGGACTGTTTAGTCCGAAAACGTTTGTTTTTTTGATGTAGCCCTTTTAAGGGTTTTTAAATAAATATACCCACTTACGAAGACTAACCTCTTTTTTGTGATACGTGGTATACAGCCAGCTGCAGGAATTGTTTTCTTTGTGGATCTTCTTCTTATTGTTTCTATCTTGTTTGCCATGAATTTCTCTTTTCTCTCTCTTTATGTTTTTCATCTGACATCGATCATATTCACTCTGTGATTCTGGATTATTTTTGAAGTTTAAGTAAGCTTGAGAGTTTGATGTAGAATAAGAAAAGTTGGTGTTTTCTTCTTAGAGTGCCGTCTCCATACGGAGGTTGGCAATCATAATAGCTATTTTTATTTTAGAACTTGCTGCTCTAAACTATTGGCTGTACCTGATATTGTTGTTAATAGTTATCAAAAGGTATCATTTTTGGTTGACTGTTGGTTGATTTGAGCACAATGGTAAATCTTGGGTATTTATTTAACTTACTCGGTAATACGGATGTATTAAGTGTTGTAAGCTCCTTCTGCATTACATTTTGGAAACTACACTTATGAAAATCACTTGATCCTGGTCCGTTCCCTGTTGGAAACATTTTCACTTCACTTTGAGCTCACTTTTATTTACATTGACTGGATAATGACAAAATTTATTTATGTACCAATAATCAATTTAAATATGCCAAATCTCGAGAAGAATAATAATTAGTTAGCACAATTAAATCTTCAGAAAACACCAAAAATTAATATTTTGCCATCCCAAATCCAAAATTTACATTAAGTTTCACAGTTATTTTGACAATATATAAGTTGATGATGATAATGATTGAACAAATTTCTCTTCGTTGGCTCAGCGAAGATGTTCGTTCAGTTGTAATGGAAACACCAAATAATAGTAGCAGAGTTTATTGATGAGACGTATACTATGGGTGTTGACCCGGGATTACTTTGAGTAGAGACTGATGAAGTTGATCGTTGAAGACTATCAAGTTTGTTGAGTGAATATTGATTGAATGCTTCTCTAGGCAAGAGATCTTAGTTTTATATAAGTTTTAATTGGGTCAATATATTCGCGGACCTCGCGTGATATGTGTATCTAATTTATGTAAATTGTTTAACTTTTGTCAGCACTTTTGACTGATGTCCAAATTATATTATTGATAATTGACCAAATGTGTATGTAACCTAATTAACTACGTGTGTGTATTTAATAACAAATAAATTCATTCGGTCTACTGGGTGATAAAATTATACTGTCCAATTTCGGATATGAATTCTGAAGATTTGATATTGGACATACTGCGGAATCGGGCAATCTGACCCAAGTGTCAATACTCAAAGTTTACATATAAGTATTACATAACATAGTAAAATTCAAACATGATAAATTATAAATAGTTTAATAATAGTTTAATAGTTTAATAAAAGTAAATAATCAATAATCTTCCAACCGTACCCGAGCTACGTGTGTGTATTTAATAACAAATAAATTCATTCGGTCTACTGGGTGATAAAATTATACTGTCCAATTTCGGATATGAATTCTGAAGATTTGATATTGGACAATGATTTTAAGAACGGTTTTGAACTGGAAAATAATACGTCAAAAAATAAACTTATTGTTACCTTAGATTGTAGTTTATTTCCAATAAAATAGTAATTGCCTTAAGATGCCACAAGAAAATAACATCAGAAAAATATTAGGAATATCAGACATTGGTGCCAAACTTTATGATAGATGATGACATATACAAAAACAAATAACTTATATTTTGCGTATTTTATTTACAAACAGCTCGTTTAATAAAGCAACAAAATTGTTTATGCTTATATTTAAACTCTGGAGACTAATTTAAAACAACTGGTATAAAAAACAGCTTGGCTCTAATGATATTCAGAAGACGGTCCTTGTACCGGTGTATTGCTTAGTATATCATTTACATTAATTAGAATTTCTCAGCGGGCACATTAGGCGAAGGAACTTAGCAAGAAAATGATTCAGAACAACCTTATCTCTTAATAGAAAAACAACGGCGGCGAAAAAATGGGAAATATTTTTTACGGCCTCTTTTTCACGTTAATAACAAACTTTGGACTTGAAAATGATGATGCACCAGATTAGCGCAAATGGGAAATTACAAATGCGAAGTATTTTATGTTATTACGGTCAAGATTTGAAAATGATAAACCCAAAATAGATTGATTATAATTATATTCCATTCGTCAGAGACAAAGATGCCAGTGAATCTCTAAAAATGATACGAAAAAGCTAAATTTTGCTAAGAATGTTATTTTGGGACCATAAAATATTTGGAACCCCACGTAGGGGGATGTATCGTATGCATCGTATCTTAGTCTCCATTCTAAAAAGTTTCTTGATTTATTTTGCGTCCCTGGCTCTGGCAACATGTCCTGCTTAGTTTCATTTGACCATTTTAGCGTTATAAGCGTTAGATTTATAGCAGTATAGCGTTTTAACTGCGCTCGTAATACCAGTTTTTTTCTATCTGATTTGAGGCGCATAGTGCAAGAGTGGCATAACTAAAAAAATGATATTTGACTTAATAACACCAAGCGTTAGTATTTGTATTAATGTATCGTGTGCAATAGTGGCCCACATCTATTTAATTAAAATGATAAAAAGAGAAATGATCAAGGTCAGTTTGGCGTATTATGATTTGTTGACAAACGGTCGTGCAGTAATAGCCCAACGTTCATGCCTGTCGATGTGTTTTCAGTTTCTCGTCTGCACTTACTATACTTGAGAATCAAATTTGTAGGCAGTAAATTCTCGAACTGTGAATGCGATAAATAAGAAAATCGTTGCCAGTTTGTAATGATAGATATTCTAGCAATTTATAATTTAATCATTGACATGCAGCAAAATTATCATATTAATGATCGTTTTGTATTTGTTAAGGTATATAATAAAATGTATTTAGTAACATCAATATTTATGTATAATATTATATTTATATACAATACTTATATATAGAAAACATCTAAAGTACGATAATATTCTTTGTAAAAGTCATACATGACAACATCGCATTCTAGGACCGGTAGAAAGGAATAGTAGATCAACGTTGTCATAATATAGAGAGAGATAAATTGCTCATTGACTTCCTAGCTTAGCATTCAGTAGCGTATCGTTCACACTGTTGCAGTGACTTTTAAAAATTAATCTTAATATAATATGATATGAAACTTATATTTAACTTTGAAGTGTATACTTCTTATCACAAAAAAAACACTACTTTCAAATTCCATAATTTTGTACAAAACATACGAGACAAAGAAACTTTCTATGACATTTAATGACAAACTATAATTTTTTTTAATGACATTTTTTGTTTGTTACAAAAATTAATTATCAGAAAGGCAGGTAGAGAGATTTACCCTGCTGTTATTTCAATGAAAGGTTTCTTTTCATTGGAATTACTTATATTTTAAATATACTAATTTACATAATTAGGAAAATCCAATTCTGAACTTGCCGATTACATGAAGTGAACTTTTACTTTTAGTGAACATATAAACACTCACACATATATATTATAATTAAATAAAATAAATCGAATCGAATATACCTAATATATATAAGAATATTCATTTTTTTAAGAGCAAAGTATATTGGTACAAAATGTATTTTAGTTTGAAAACTAGGTTAACAAAATAAACTTACTTACATACGAAAGTAATCTTAATAAAATGGTTCGACCTCCACAGGAAGTTAAAATATTAATCATCGTATGAAGACGACTCGTCGGCTGATGAAGAGCTATCGCGATCACTATTATTTACATTGATAATTAATGGTTCAACCGAAATGTCCACTCTTGTGTCTAAGTCCCACATTCTATCTTCTTCTTTTATAGTGTGTCTTATACAATTTTTCCAAGACTCAGGTGTGACATTTTGTATGGCAGTAGCTAACAAGCACTTCACCTCCTCCATTTTAAAACTCAAGTTTTCCTTGCCACTTGGTTTTTTATTTGAGCCCATATAAGCTCGATAGGGTTCAGCTCACAATGATAAGGAGGGAGGCGATGTACAATTATGTTGTTTGCACGAGCCATTTCATCGACTGCATATTTCTTGAAAACGGGTATATGTATCCTCGCGAGGTTTAATAATTGTACTTTCAACATGTTGTCATCGAATGGTATATTTTTTTGAGAGAGCCAGTTGATTATTTCACCTTTTCGCCAGGCAGTCGTTGGTGATGGCTCCAACCGTCGACTGTGGTATGACGCATTGTCCATAACAACGACAGAATTTGCTTCAAGGCTTGGTAGAATATTTGAAAACCAACCTTCGAATCTTTGAGCGTCCATTTCCTCATGGTAATCGTTGGTTTTCTTGGATTCGAATAGTAACAAGCCGTTGTCCAAAAAACCCGAATCGCTGCCTATATGTGTTATTATGAGCCTCCGTCCTTTACCCACTGGTGTTTTTAATCCTAATGAAAGCTCTTCAATGAAGGCTTGTCGACGACTTTTAATTTCCAAATCTTGCCACACCTTTGAGACAGTATGACCTTGATTTAGCCAAGTTTCATCTAAATAGTATACTTTTCGTCCTTCACGACGATACTCTCGGATTTTTTGTAAGTAATTTCTCCGCCACAAAACAATTTCATCTTTTTCTAAAAGAACACTATTCCTGCTTCTTTTATATATTTAATGTTCATTTGTTCTAATGTTCGCAATAAAACACGTCGTGATATTTTGGGTATTGAATTATCGGAATTTATTTCAACTTCAACTTTCTTTAAGGTTGGGATTTCGTTCCGAAAAAAGAAAGCATGGAATTTCCTCCGAATAGCATATTTGGTATGATCTTCAAGCTGGATGCGTTTTCTACCTCTGGTTTCAATGGTTTCAACAGGTCCATCATCCAATTTGCCTTCACTTTGTTTAAAATTGTTTACAATTCTGTATACACTTCTCGTCGAAACTTTAGTCAAATCACTACACAGGGTAACTACATCGTTGACCGACATACTTTTATTCCTTTCACGGAGTCCACAATACACATTGAATATAATATTTTTTCTCCCATCGAAAAATTTGGACGTCGTTTACTTTTACTACTTTCACTTTCCATATTACTCACAACAGTAAAAATAATGTAACCATTGCTGGACAACGTGACGCCAGCAAAATAGTATTCTACTCATCGTCATCACAACACTGTTTACTTCGATAGACAAAACAACTAGAATACCTGAGTAGCCGACTTTCACCGACTATCGCGCTTTTAGGGAGGTGTAACTATTACCTTCTAAACTAAAATTATTATTTATAGATAATTAATTCAAATTTATAAAACAATAATAAAAAGTAATGGGTTGTACAGCGATGTAGTATATCTTTTCTAAGTAAAAATATTAAGAGAATAAAAGTTTTAATTCTAAAAGTATGTCGAGTGGGAGATAATTTCGTACTAAAGTAAATTAGTTTAAATCGGCCTATTTTAATCTTAGGAATACATGATTAAGTTATGGCCATTCGTTACCAAATACCATTTATATTATCTTAATATATATATATATATATATATATATTATATATAAATATATGATATATATTATATTATATAAATATATATAAATATATTATATATATATATATATATAATAATCCAAATGTCAACAATAATCATATTAAAATTAACATAATTATAAATAGGTACATATTTATTTAATACAAGTAGCTTTGTCGTAACTTCTTATGATATTTTTCGTACGCCATTGGAAGACCTACAATAGCAATGAACCATCACTATTACTTCCAAGAATTTACTGCCTAGATTTCTGAATTCTGACTATAGTGGTCTATATCTTACCTTAAAATTGATATTTGATTTTTAACAGCCCGTGTACAGTTAAATTGTTTGTTTTTAGTTATTTGGAAGTTGTGTTATGGATATTCCATCCACATCAGGTAAATATATTATTCAGATCATTTTCTTAGGTAATTATTAAAAGTAGAGTATATTGGAAAAAGGTGTTAAAAAGTATATATTAATACACGCCTGAATTATTATAACTTATCTCTTTCAGTCAAAAACAATAATACTTTTGATGGCAGTCATGTCTCTAGTGTTAATGAGCCATTATCAGATTTAGGTTCCAGCTACAATCCTTCTGATATTGAAGAATCATCAAGTGAAAAAAGTAGAGGTATTTTATTATTATTATTATAATAGTTTGCAAGAAACAAATATACTTTGTTTTAGGTAAAAATGAAAATGTATTGGTGACTGATGAGAAACGTGGTGCTTGCCAAAAATTTGTAGATAAAAGTCAATGGCAACGTAATACATATAAGAAAAAAATTATAAAATAGTGGAAGTGAGTATACAAACATTAAGGGTAATTTAGTTGCTGCCAAACAGTTTGATGCATCGGACTGTCGTTGTTTTAACGAATGCCATAAACTCATTACTCTTCAACATCGTGAAACTATTTTTAAAGATTTTTATAAACTCACCAATTATGATTTACAGACATCTTACTTATGTGGCCAAATCAAACCTACTTTAAAATTAGCCAATACTGCTTAAAGTGACACCAGAAAATACACAAGACAATATTATTTGACAAGAAAAACAGGGCTAGATATTCCAGTTTGCAAGAAGTTAAAAAAGTCTGAGATTTCAGATGGTGCTTGCAATAAAGAAGCAAGGTGGTACAACTTCGAAGGATAAAAGAGGTAAAAAGAAACCTCATAATAAAACAAGTCAGGAGAAAGTATTTCCATAATATCAATCACATTATTCTAGAAAAAAAAATCCCAATCTTTTGTTATTTAGCTCCCACATTTAAATTTGTCAACTATGTATTCCTTATACAAACAAGAAACAAGTGATCCTGTGTCACAATTTGTTTTTAGGGATGTTCTCAGATAAAAATTAATTTAACTTTTCATGCGTCTCTATCTGAAGTTGTAGAAGATGTGACGAATTTGAACAAAAAATAAAAACAAACTTCTGAAATTACTTTTGCAAGTTTAAAGTAAGAAAAAAATTGCATCTTCAAAGGGTAGGGGCTGCATTCGATTTGGAATTGCTTAGGTATCCACAACTGTCAAGTTATTAGGCCCACATGTACGTTTGACATGAAGCCATATCATCTAGAGGACCTCAAGAGATTGGATCTTGTATACTGCACTATGTCAAAAACTATGTTAACATGTTAAAATTAATTATGTATTGTGACCATTGCAGAGGGCAAAATAGGAAAATTAAAATATCTTTATTTTATAATTACATTATACAAAACAAGATATCAAAAGTGCAGCAAATTGACCATACATTTTTGGTATCGGGGCATTCATATTTAGACTGTTACTGTAACTTTGTGACCATAGAGAAGAACAAGAAGACCCGTTCAAACTTGAAAAAATGATAGTTATATATCCGTAGATTGGACCAGAGTAGATTAGGAGAGCCAAAAAAACAAAAACCATTTACAGTAGTAGAAATAACCAGCAACGATTTCGTGAATAGTATTCCATTAGAGAAAATCATTACTAATCGTAAAAAGATTGTCGGAATGTAAATCGGTAAACTGGTTAAAAATGCAATAGTTGCGATATTCTTTAACTGAACTGCTACAATTTTATTATAAAGAATTTAAAAACCGCAGGTTTTAGATATATAGAGACATGACGAAGCCCAATACATCTACGTTTATTGGAAAACTTCCACTTTTATACCAAAAGACAGAGACATTGAAGCAACTAAATTTAGCAATTACAAGATTTCGTTAGTGTATGTATCATCTTATTTACCTAACTTTTATAACAATCTAAATGTTAAAAATTTAGATCAGCGTATACAAAATAATGATGATGGAGAAGATAATGTGTTTTACGCTATAGACGATTCCGAACAAATGATGGAATAAATGTTTATAAAAAAAATTAGTTAAGGGCATTGTTTTGACTTTTGTTCACTTTTTGTATACAAATATGGTAAAAATATATTTTATGCAAAAACGCACTTTATTTTTTTTATTTATATAATGTTAGTGCAAGAGTGGCCTACAATTTTTTTTTCCAAAAAGATTTTGAAAATTTTACTTTTTTGTGATATTATGTAAAATGAAATTTACTAACTTAATTTAAGTGTTGAAATTGAAAACTAAGGTTAATAATTCTTGGAGAAACAGAGAGCGGTCAAATTGAATAAAACTTAAATCGTCTGTTCCCTAAAATCAGTTTTTACCAGTTAACCACTCTTGCACTATGGGCCTCATTTGAAACTCTGTCCCTAAGGGATATATTCAACATTGCCCTTTCCATTGCTTTCTGTGCCTCGTATATTATTGATTATTTTGTTTACTTTTCTGGCACTTTTTGTTTACTTCTTATTACTACAGCTGTTTCAGCTGATTGCCTTTCTCAAGTGATCTATTTTTGGCATGCGTTTACACTTTATAGTCTCTAATGAAATAGGTTGAGGAGGGGAGAACTGTTTGTCTAAGTTGGTCATTCAGAATTATATCTGTGTTTTTTAATTTGTTGATTTCCATAGATTCTAACAAAGATAGCTTAAGGCCTTTATTTTGAATGTGAAGAATTTTAAATTCATCATTAAAAGAATGATTATGATCTAGAAGGTGAAGTGCGTATGTAGAATCTGTTTTTCTATTATTGAAAGCCCTTTTATGTTCTGCTATTCGTTTATTAAAAGTTTCTACCAGTTTGACCGATGTAAGTTTTTGGGCAGTCGCCACATTAAGTTTGTACACACCACTGTGTAAGTGTTTTTTATTTTGGCTCTTGTTGTTTTTATATATTTGCCTAGGTTGTTATTTGTTCGAAAAGCTGGTGTTATTAATTTCTTTTTTATGTGTTTGGCTATTTTTGTTGATATTTTGCCTGTATATGTAATCGAGCAGAAGGTAATGGGTTTTTTCTCTGGTGGTGGAAATACTAATTTCAGGGCTTTCTTGTGTAGTTTTTGATTTAACATTTTATTAATTGTTTGTTCGTTGTATCCGTTGTTTACTGCTATTTGCTTAATTATATTTAATTATGTCTCAAATTTGTATTTTGACATCGGAATTTCTGTTAATCTGTGTTTTCAGAGTTTAATTGTTAAATGAAGGCCTTTATTTCCTAATTGTTACATACAGGAAGCCTTAATGGAGACAACCGAAGGTATTATTGTGAATGGAGTAACCGTCAACAATATTAGATATGCCGACGATACCTTAGTCCTTGCCAATTGCGGAGAAGACCTTCAAAATCTAATGAACAAAATAAAACAGACTTGTGATCAGTATGGATTAAAACTCAACGTTAAGAAAACTAAATATATGATAGTTAGCAAACAAAATTATATACATGATGACGGTATAAAAGTCGGAGATGCCACACTGGACAGAGTAGAGAAACTCGTGTATCTCGGCAGTAATATCAATGAGAGCTGGGATCCAACCGCAGAAATTAAAAGCCGAATAGAACAAGCCCGAGCTGCCTTTGTAAAAATGAGAAACGTACTTTGCAGTCACGATCTTAGCATTGACCTTAGAGTTCGTATGATATCTTGCTACATCTTTCCTGTCCTGCTGTATGGAGTAGAAGCGTGGACCCTAACTGAGGCTATGCTTAAACGCTTGACAGCCTTTGAGATGTGGGTATACAGACGACTACTGAAAATAAGCTGGGTCGACAGAGTTAGAAATGAGGAGGTCCTTAGACGGCTGAACCAAACAACACAACTGGTCAATATAATAAAGAAACGCAAGCTGGAATACTTCGGTCATATTATGAGACACCCTGAAAAATATGATCTTTTACATCTGATCATTCAGGGAAAGATCCAAGGTAATCGTGGTCCTGGTAGAAGAAGAACATCATGGCTGAAAAATCTAAGGCAATGGTATGGAAAATCAACTACATCGTTATTTAGAGCTGCTGTCAATAAAGTCACGATAGCGAATATGGTAGCCAACATGATATCCAACGATCGATAACGGTCATGGAACTAGAAAAAGAAGAAGAAGAATTGTTACATAAAATGGATTTCCATTAGGATTATGATCGAATCGATGAATTGTTTATCTATCTCTTTATTGTCGTTTGTTTCTGAAATAATTAGGACTTGCTTTTTGCACTTATTAAAGAAGAGCTGCAAATTTTAAATGGATTTCAACATTTTGTACCTTCCACACAATTCCAACATGGAAAGAGATGATGCCATTCATATTGCAAATATGAAGTATTTGCATCATAATATATGATATGAAGTATATGGAGTATTTCGGACATGCAATGAGAGATGTCACATATACGTTGCTACAAAATATCATGCAAGGAAAAATAGCAGGCAAACGCAGTCCAGGACGAAGAAGAATCTCATGGTTGAAGAACTTGCGAGATTGGTATGGTGTTGATACAAGCATGCTATTTAGGGTGGCAGTAAATAAAATTAAGATAGCTATGATGGTAACCAACGTTCTGAAAGGACATGGTACATGAAGAAGAAGATATTGCAAATTGGCAAAATCTAAAAAAAAGACCAATAAGTTGGCAAAAATACCCATGGTTTATTTAAAATGACAGAATGATGTATGCGGTAAGCACAGTACAGAGTTAAATGTTTTGTGTATCCTACAATGATGCCAATTTCACTGAAGCCAAAGACACCAAGTAAATTATAAATTTTTATCTTTTTAACTGTTCCAATATTGTCTAGAATCCTTTTAATTTGTAAAAGTGTTATTTTAAAAGTAGTTTTAATAAAGAAGCAGAATTTTGATTAATATATATGTAGAAATTTATTGATTACCTTGGTCCTCGCTGTTTTTAATAAAAAGTCAACCTTTCTGCAAGGGTTAATAAATCAAAAAGGTATTGCAAAATGAACAAATGAACAAAATCGCTGTTTTTGAATACTGGTAATAACTTTTTTAATATTTATTAAAATTTGTTTAAATGTACATGGTATGTAATTTGCTTTAACTTTTAGCATTGCAGATGCCTTTCGAATGCCTATTTCGAAAACAAAATAAACGTCCTTCAGTAGCCTTTTAGAAAGCCCAAATAGTAGTTTACACCTGATAAAAAAATTTAATACTCTTCAAACCATCATGAATATTCGATATAAGTGCGTTGATGCTTCTTCAGGCCATGAACATCAGTGTAAATTGAAGCATGGCATTGGGAGATTATTGATAAAAAGTGTTAAGACTAACATTTTTCTATTTTCTTCTTCCTCAGTTTTTTCTTTTTCAGGATTCGCTGTACCTTAATAATCGTCGCCAGCTTTTTCGGTCCATTAAGTTTTCCTCATCTAAATCTTTCCTACGATTTTCCTTTACCTCTCCTTTTATCAA